TAAAAGATACATTAAATTAGATACCAAATTATGATTTCCCATACCAAAAAACCCCCAGTTAATTTTTTTTGTATAAATGTCCAAAAATGTTCAAGTTATTGCGAAAAATAAATTTTGAAATTTCACTTTTAACACCCTGTATCTTTTTTATTATGAATATTTTATTAAGGCAAGTTGGCTCAAATCGTAATATTTTAAAGTCACAAATCTACCATACTTCTATGTACAATTACTTAAAGACCACCCTGTATACGTATTAGCAGCTATTAATAACAAATTAAAGATAGATATATTTATAGCGTATTATATAAAACGTAGTATTTACATTTTACATACTTATTATGTAATCCTGTTCGTGTTGTCAATAGACGGAGGAAAAAATACTAACTTCGAACTTTTTCCTTATTCGCAAACGGAAATTGTAATAGTTATTTATGTACCAAGGGAGATACAGGGATGATTATGCCCGCAGGCGAGAAGTTGCGACAAGTCGCCTAAGGGCATAATCATCTGAGTATCTCCCACGGTACATACAACGTTTTATTTTTTAGTAAAACATCTGATTTTATATTTATTTTAAATTTAATAAGTAAATGTAAATGAGAATGAAAACAGTTCTTCAATATATAAACGATGTGTCCAAGGTATCTGTGACACCCGCATTTGTTGATTTTGACAGTTTGATGTTTGATTCTGGGGAGACATATCGAAAAGGCAGAATGGATAATATTCCAACAATAATTGCTGCTAGAACCAATAAAGCCAATGAAGGATTACTGCCTAAGAAATCTAAATTACTTTATGGTAAAGAATCTAAACGTTTTGAGACTTGGCAAAGCAGAAATTCAGTGACAGCTTAAGTGAAAGTATATTAATGGGATATTTCCAAGAACTGATATGTATTACCTCTTGTCACTTTAAAGAAATATTTATAATTTTTGATAATTTATATTTTTTATTTATCTTTTAGTCAGAATCATTCAGCCCTAACACATTTTTAGGATATTTTCAAAATTAAAGAAGCATAAAGTCATACATATCTTGTGGAAGAGGTAATATAGGAAATAATTGGCTATATTACCAGCCAAATTAAATGAAATTAAATTAAAGCCAAATATCTCGAAAAAGGTGCGAGATAGCTACTTTTATAAAGTATACCTTTTTTGTGTAAAAAAAAGTTGGAAAATAAGAATTTGTTACCAAAGATGAGATACCTTAAAGTACAAAAAAGTATGTCGTTTTTAACACATTCAATCTATTGCAGCTAGCGCCCTCTATGAACTTTAACCAACATGTGAACAGATTTCAATTACTCTACCCAAAGAACTCCAAACCCCAAAATTTTGTGAGGATATTTGCATTTGTTAAGGAATAAATGAAAAAAAACTGAAATAATATTTTACTTTTAACACCCTGTGTCTCTTTAGCTATCAACTTTTGGACTACTCATGAAATTTGGCCCATTACCTCGAAACCACCCTGTATATCTTTGCCACCAAAAGAAAATAAAGAACGGCGGTTTTTTTTTGACATATCGGAATGATCAATACGCAACCAGTAGGCAAAAATACCTTCGGTAACATACCGTCCAGGTTTGCAAAATATCTCGGCTACGCAGATGCCAAAATGTACACAGGACATTGTTTGCGTCGTACATCGGCAACTCTTCTCGTAGATGCAGATGCAGATATGATAACATTAAAAAGACATGGAAAATGGAAGAGTGATACTGTAGCATCAGGATATGTAGAAGATAGAAAGAATTAAATATCTCGTTTAATAGCAGGAGTGGAAAGAACTAGGGATGACAATTTTTCTGAATTGATTGTGAGGGAAAATGAATTCGATAGCAAAGAAAATTTGGGTAGTTTTTCTGGTGTTACTGTTAAAAGTTTTGTAGCGGTACGCTACAATTACATTTAGTACCTGCCCCAATAAATATATGTTGCTTTCTGGGAATTTACGAGCCATATAAATTATACTATGAATTATCCCAGATTATCCCAAATAAACGTGTTTAGCAAATGAGATTAGAATAAGTAGGCTGTAAACATAAATTAGTTGTTGTTTATTAGGGTACATAAGCACAAACCGAGTAGGTAATGCCTCGGATAAGAGTTAATTAGGATAGGGTAATAAAAGTAGGTACCTGGGGACAAGGATAAAAACCTAAAACATTTCCAGGCACGAACGAGAAATCTTGAAGCCTAGTTCTTGCTCGGTTATGTCTCGTGTTACCAGCAAAATTAGTAGAATAAAGTTTTCCATGCTACTTAGAGTTTTTCTCCTCACTTGAAGACCAAACCACTATAACTGCTCGTCAAATAAAATCCACATTCAACAATTACTAAAATTAAATAATTTTTTTTCTGATCTTCAAGTTTGACGTTTAACTCAACAGCCAACTTCCGAAATTTTGATAATTTTAAATAATACAACTACAATGCGTATTATTAGTTTTTCGTGTTTTTGCTGAAAACGACAAATTTTTTGAAATCTAACAAGAGTAAGAAAAGTTTTAGAATTAAATTCCCCATAAAATAAAGTAATTATTTTGTAAGTCCGCCAACGGGTTAAGAAATTCTGTCACATTCTGTCACAATGGTGCATCATCCCTTTAAAATGCTTCAATTGAACTCTACATGCCCCTGGTCTGTATATATATATACAGGGTAGCCCATCGAAAACGTACCGCAAGGCATTACAGGGTAGTAATGAACTTTTCGGCAAAATCCAAAAACAGGTAAAGTTTGCTTCTGAGGGGGACAACTTTTGGCGCAAAAAGCATAGCAAAATCTTCAACCCCCTAAGTGGGGGTGCCATCCCCCAAATTTTTTTAAATGGGAATGGGGGTCAAGTGGGGGGTCATTAGAAAGGGCTTTTAATTCTCTATACATCGATTCTTACTTTTTGAAAATCGATCCATTATTTTAGAAAATATGCAGCTTTGAAAATACGAACAATATTTTTGACGAGAAATGCGAAAATCGATTTAATTTTACTTCAAAACTTACGGTATTAGCTTGGTAAATTCCTTCAAAAGAATTCGCTGTTTTTTTTTCTGATTTGCGAATTCTTTAGCCTGATTTTGGTGAGCAAAAAATTGTCCGCTTTTTGTTTCGTATTTAGATAGGCCACAAGAAGTTGCTAGATAACTGTCTTGTGACTTGTAGTTGAAGAGTACCAATACTGCCGAGTCTTTTAAATTGATTAATTATGGTGTACTCAATTCCAGAAAGAGTAGAAATTATTGAGCTTTTTTTCAAAAACAATGAATGCGGAAATCGGGTCGCCGAACTGTTCAACCAACGGCATCCTGAGAAACATGCGTCTGGAAAAATTGTTCGCGAATTGGTGGCCAAATTTCGCGAAACTGGCTCCGTTCATAACAAAAAGAGGCAGGTTGAAAATCCGGTACTAAATGAACCTACGGAAATAGCGGTATTGGGGCAAGTGGCAATGGATAGTACGCTGAGTACAATGCAATTGGCTACTGCGACAGGAGTGAGTCGTACAAGTGTCCAACGAATATTAAAAAAATACAAATTCCATCCTTATAAGATTCGGCTAGTGCAAGAGCTAAATGAAGACGATTTTGATCGTCGTTTGCAATTTTGCGAAATAATGACTGAACGAGCGATAAACGATAATTTCCTCTTTAATGTGTGTTTTTCGGACGAGTGTACGTTCTTCTTGAATGGTTTAGTGAATCGCCATAATTGTCGTTACTGGGCTGATACCAATCCAAGGATTTTCCATGAGACACACTCCCAACACCCCCAGAAGTTGAATGTATGGGCAGGTATTTTTGGAAATTCCATTGTAGGTCCTTTTTTCCTTCCTGGAAATTTGACAGGCGATATGTACTTGGATTTACTACAAAATGTCATCGACCCAGCTCTAACAAATATCATAGAGGACGACCCTGCTTACAATGAACACGAACTGATTTTCCAGCAAGACGGAGCTCCTCCACATTACTCGCTCAATGTGCGCAATTACCTAAATGAGACGTTTCCAGGACGCTGGATAGGACGAAGAGGTGCAATTGAGTGGCCCCCTCGGTCACCCGACTTAAATCCTTTAGATTTCTTTCTCTGGGGGCACATTAAAAGCAAAGTTTACAGCACTCCACCTGATACCTTGGAAGATCTGCGAGGACGAATCATTAATGTATGTCGCGAAGTAACACCGCAAGTGCTCCAGAATGTTCGACAACGGTTTGAAGACAACCTGTATCATTGTATGCAAGTTGGCGGACAACATTTTCAGCATTTACTTGACTAATACCGTAAGTTTTGAAGTAAAATTAAATCGATTTTCGCATTTCTCGTCAAAAATATTGTTCGTATTTTCAAAGCTGCATATTTTCTAAAATAATGAATCGATTTTCAAAAAGTAAGAATCGATGTATAGAGAATTAAAAGCCCTTTCTAATGACCCCCCACTTGACCCCCATTCCCATTTGAAAAAATTTAGGGGATAGCACCCCCACTTAGGGGGTTGAAGATTTTGGTATGCTTTTTGAGCCAAAAGTTGTCCCCCTCAGAAACAAATTTGACCTGTTTTTGGATTTTGCCGAAAAGTTCTTTACTACGCTGTAATGCCTTGCGGTACGTGTTCGATGGGCTACCCTGTATATGTATGTAGCTTTGTTTATAAACATCTTAAAAACGACAAAATCCAAACAACCAGGGTGACTTTGCAAGATTTCTCATAACGTTAAAATGAATTGATTAAGAAATGTCAAAAAATAAAACCTAATCTTTATTTCGTGAACCATGTTGTTAAGTATAATTTACCAGTCTCGGACATTACAGCCAGCCCTCGCTCCGCTCGGGCGCAAATGCGTTCTCGACTTTTAAATAATACTTACCTCCTTTATGGTGTAAATAACTATTAAGTGAGTCCTGCTTAATTAGTAAAACTACTACCAAAATTTGAAAGGATAAAAAAGACTTCATAGCACTTGCAAATTTATTTTAGAGCAATCGTACAAGCTATTGCCTTAGTTCTAACGACACCTTATATCCGTCTGTGGGTCTCAGGACTAAATTAGCCTTGAGCTTGATATCCTGGATACTCCCGTAGGACGTGCTGACCTTGAACTTTCTCAACACCGTCGCCAGAAGCGTCTTCATGGCCATCATAGCGTACTTGATCCCTGTAACAAAACCACAATCGCACGTTTCCAAATTCAAGCCTAGTGTGGTGATTTTACATACCTAGACAGTTCCTAGGGCCATAGGAGAAGGGCAAATAGGTGCAAGGGTGCCTTTTGGCGACCTCTTCCGGTAGGAATCGGTCCGGATCGAACTTGAAGGGCTCCGGCCAATATTTCTCATTGGTGTGGGTCCTCAGGATCCCAAAGATCACAGAGGTTCCTCCCGGGATCAAGTGGTCACCTGAAATATTTCGGGGTTACAGAAGTACAAGCAATTTTAAACTCTCACCTAGATCGACGTCTTCCTCGATGGCCCTGACGATGACACCAGCCACAGGGAACAGTCTGAGGGTCTCTTTGATGAACCTATCCATATACTTGAGTTTGACCAAGTCTTCTCTTTCCACGGGTCTACTTGGACCTACCACTTCGATTATCTCTTCATAGACTTTCTCCTGGGAAGCTAAATGCGTAAACTAACAAAGCGCTATGGCCTCGAAACTTACCTGTAGGTCCTTGTGGAGTCCTAGCATGAGGAAGACGTAGGAATTTGTAGAAGCCGTTGTATCGGAACCCTAAAAAGTATCGACTTTGTACGGCTATCTATTACAACCCGTTTTACTCACAGCAATGATAAAGGTGTCGACTTCATCTCTCAATTCCCTTTCAGTAAACTGGTTTCCCTGGCTGGTGATCTCTATTAAGTGATCCAAAAACGTTTTCTTCCTCGAGTCTGAAACAAACCGTTTCAGTATTTGGTCAATAAAACTGAACCGTACTACCTTCTTCGAAGTACAGTTTGTTCGCTTTCCTAGATTCGTCAAACAATCGTTTCCGTTGCCTGACCACCTAAAAACAAAGATTTCTTCTTAGATTCTCTCAAAATATTGTCGTTAGCGTTAAGACGGTGTAAGAAAGGGACCCAGTATGCTACCTTGGGGTGCGCTTTTATATATTACAGGGTATCCCACGGTGACGAGACATTAGATATATTTCAGAGACTACTTCGATTTTAATTTTGAAAATTTGGTCAATAGCGTTTTCAGACATGCCTTTCTCAACTAATATAATGGCGTCCACCTAACCCTTCCGGTTATACCGGAAGCTGACTTCATCTTCGTTATTTTAAATGATTTTAGATTCTACGTCAATTTTTAGGTGAACCTTCATAAAGGTTCCCTATTCTTAAAGTTAACCGTTTTTGATATATTTAACTTTCTCAAAAAAAATTAAAAAAGCACTGCCTAATTCAAAAAGATGTGTATTTTACAATAATAAAGTTAGAGCAATAAAAGAGTTACCGCAAAAAAGCCATTTTTCCGCCTGTTTTTGAGACTTTGACAGAGGCGACAGGAAAATCCTAAAAATGTTCTAAAAATATCCAAATACTCGTCATGAAAAATGAAAATGAACATCACTTTCAGTTTTTCGAAAATTTTCGAAAATCACCACTCAATCAAAGGACAAAAAAAGTGAACAAATTAAGAATCATCAACAGTTGTAAAACCCCAAATATTTCAATGTTGTTATCAGTAATAATATAACAGAGTGAGAATAAATTGAAAATAATTTGACAGATTTTTTGAAAACTTGTTTCCAGGCAATAGTCACGAGAGCCCGCAGGGCTCGAGTGGCTATTTCCAAATGGCAACAAATCTGTCAAATTATTTTCTAATTTTTGGAACTCGCGGGTTATATTTGACTAGATTATTTTTTGATTCACAAATTTTTACAATAAAAAAGATCAATAAAACTATCATAAAACTATTGAAAAATTTAATTTAATTAATTATTACAATATACGAAAATATCGTTGACACATTGTGAATATATTAAAAGAATTAACAATTTAAATTAGTACAATGAAAAACGCAATTATTAAAAATATTTCGAGAGTCATTATTTATTGAGGATTTGGAATTGCTTGTTATATTAAGTGTTTCCTCCTGCGTATTTTCTCTAAGATTATTTATTATATTTGAATGATGTTCTTGGTTCAATTGTAAGTATGGTTTAATCGAACTTGCAGAATTATGACCAGTGACCTTGATTAGTTCTTGTTCTCCTACACCAGCTTTTGAAAGGTTACTTACTGCACTTGATCTGGCAGAATGGTTAGTTATTTTTTTAGTAACTGTGTCTAGACCTACTTTTTCTGCGGATTCTTTCATCCATTTTGAAATGGAATTTATTCCCACAGGAACGTTTTTATACCAAGAACCATGAGTTTGCCAAGCCGGATTTGGAGTAAGAAACAAGCGTTCGGTTTTAATATTTTCTTCACGTTTACCCATTAGTTTTTCAAAAAGACGAACAGGGCAAATATCTGGGTTATTTATGTTTGGAGTCAACCATTTACTATTAGCGCACCTTTGTGCTCCACCCTGTGCAGTTTTTGTAAAGATGGGATTGTATTCAATGCGGCCAGTATTTAATCTTATTATGTCGGTTTCTTTTTTAAAATAATGAACTAAACATTTCGTAGCTTCTCCTCCCCTCCAAGCTAGTTCATACGATGCAACGTGAAAAAACTTTCTTTGCAATCCACAAGGTGTATCTTCGTCCCAATAGTTAAAAATTTGCAACAATTCTGTATTAGAAAGTGCCACAGAACTTTGTTTGTGCTTTTCAGGATGTTTTTGTAAAATTTTTCTTTTTGCATCTCTTGCATTTCGAGCATTTTTGAATTCTATATCATGGAAAGGATCAAAGGACCTGTTATACTTATTAAAGTAAAGTTCTTGAACTAATTTTGCCGTTTTATTCCACATTGTCTTTATTACTGCTTCTTTATAATCATTTCCGTCTTTTCTTTTCATGTTATAAGCCCAATCTTTCAAAATCAATGCCAGAGTAGCTGTTGTAGTAGATTGATCCAGAATATAATTTCTTTCTTTGGTGAAGGTCTTAAATTGTCTCCATATAGACTGATTACTTATTAGAGTATTTTTCGAAGTAGTTTCTACAATCTTTTTTGTTATTTCTGCATCAGAAAAGGTACTAAACCGATGATTTTCACCCATTTTATATATCGCGTTGACACAATTAGGTAATTATTTTGACAACTATCTGACACTTGCTACGCAAATAAAAGCCACAGTGATTATTCCCGAGAATAAT